TCTGGGTGTCCGTGGTAGACACTCCTGGACCTCTGGGTGTCGGACAGTAAGACACTCCTGGACTCTGGGTGTCCGGACAGTAGGCACTCCTAGACCTCTGGAGTGTCCGACAGTAAGACACTCCTGGACCTCTGGGTGTCGGACAGTAACACTCCTAGACTCTGGGTGCGGACAGTAAGACACTCCTGGACCTCTGGAGTGTCCGGACGAAATAAGACACTCTGAGCCTCTGGAGTGTGTCCGGACAGTAAGACACTCGACCTCTGAGGTGTCGGACAGTAAGACACTCCTAGACCTCTGGGTGTCGGACAATAAAGACACTCCTGGGCCTCTGGAGTGTCGGACAATAAACACTCCTAGACCTCTGGTGTCCGGACAGTAAGACACTCCTGGACCTCTGGGTGTCCGGACAGTAAGAACTCCTAGACCTCTGGAGTGTCGGACAGTAAGACACTCTAGACCTCTGGAGTGCCGGACAGTAAGACACTCCTAGACCTCTGGAGTGTCCGGACAGTAAGACACTCCTGGACCTCTGGGTGTCCGGACAGTAAGACACTCCTGGACCTCGCAGGTGTCCGGACAGTAAGACACTCTGGACCTCTGGAGTGTCGTACAGTAGACACTCCTGGACCTCTGGAGTGTCGGACAGTAGCCTCCTGAACCTGGGTGTCGGACATAAGACACTCCTGGACTGGAGTGTCGGACAGTAAGACACTCCTGGACCTCTGGAGTGTCCGGACAGTAAGACACTCTGGACCTCTGGGTGTCCGGACAGTAAGACACTCCTAGACCTCTGGAGTGTCCGTACAGTAAGACACTCCTAGACCTCTGGAGTGTCCGGGGACATAAGACACTCCTGGACCTCTGGAGTGTCCGGACAATAGACACTCTGGACCTCTGGAGTGTCGGACAGTAAGACACTCCTAGACCTCTGGGTGTCCGGACAGTAAGACACTCCTAGACCTCTGGGTGTCCGGACAGTAGACACTCCTGGACCTCTGGAGTGTCCGGACAATGAACACTCCTAGACCTCTGGAGTGTCCGGACAGTAAGACACTCCTAGACCTCTGGGTGTCCGGACAGTAGACACTCTAGACCTCTGGAGTGTCCGGACAGTAAGACACTCTAGACCTCTGGAGTGTCCGGACAATAAAGACACTCCTGGACCTCTGGAGTGTCCGGACAGTAAGACACTCCTGGACCTCTGGAGTGTCCACAGTAAGACACTCCTAGACCTCTGGGTGTCCGGACAGTAGACACTCCTGGACCTCTGGAGTGTCGGACAGTAGACACTCCTAGACCTCTGGAGTGTCGGACAGTAAGACACTCCTAGACCTCTGGAGTGTCGGACAGTAAGACACTCCTGGACCTCTGGAGTGTCCGGACAGTAAGACACTCCTGGACCTCTGGAGTGTCCGGACAGTAAGACACTCCTAGACCTCTGGAGTGTCCGGACAGTAAGACACTCCTAGACCTCTGGAGTGTCCGGACAGTAAGACACTCCTAGACCTCTGGAGTGTCCGGACAGTAAGACACTCCTAGACCTCTGGAGTGTCCGGACAGTAAGACACTCTGGACCCTGGAGTGTCCGGACAATAAGACACTCTGGACCTCTGGAGTGTCCGACAGTAGACACTCTAGACCTCTGGAGTGTCGGACAGTAGACACTCCTGGACCTCTGGGTGTCGGACAGTAAGACACTCCTAGACCTCTGGAGTGTCCGGACAGTAAGACACTCCTAGACCTCTGGGTGTCCGGACAGTAAGACACTCCTGGACCTCTGGAGTGTCCGGACAGTAAGACACTCCTGGACCTCTGGGTGTCGGACAGTAAGACACTCCTAGACCTCTGGAGTGTCCGGACAGTAGACACTCCTGGACCTCTGGGTGTCCGGACAGTAAGACACTCCTAGACCTCTGGAGTGTCGGACAGTAAGACACTCCTAGACCTCTGGAGTGTCGGACAGTAAGACACTCCTAGACCTCTGGAGTGTCCGGACAGTAAGACACTCCTAGACCTCTGGGTGTCCGGACAGTAAGACACTCCCTGGACCTCTGGAGTGTCCGGACAGTAAGACACTCCTAGACTGGAGTGTCGGACAGTAAGACACTCCTAGACCTCTGGAGTCCGGACAGTAAGACACTCCTAGACCTCTGGAGTGTCGGACAGTAAAGACACTCCTAGACCTCTGGAGTGTCGGACAGTAAGACACTCCTAGACCTCTGGAGTGTCCGGACAGTAAGACACTCTAGACCTCTGGTGTCCGGACAGTAAGACACTCCTGGACCTCTGGAGTGTCCGGACAGTAAGACACTCCTAGACCTCTCTGGAGTGTCCGGACAGTAAGACACTCCTGGACCTCTGGAGTGTCCGGACAGTAAGACACTCTTAGACCTCTGGAGTGTCGGACAGTAAAGACACTCTTGGACCTCTGGAGTGTCCGGACAGTAAGACACTCCTAGACCTCTGGAGTGTCCGGACATTAAGACACTCTTAGACCTCTGGAGTGTCCGGACAGTAAGACACTCCTGGACCTCTGGGTGTCCGGACAGTAAGACACTCCTGAGCCTCTGGAGTGTCCGGACAGTAAGACACTCCTAGACCTCTGGAGTGTCGGACAGTAAGACACTCCTAGACCTCTGGAGTGTCCGGACAGTAAGACACTCCTAGACCTCTGGAGTGTCCGGACAGTAAGACACCATTTACTTCTCTATCGCCTTCCCTCCTCCCCCTGTGTTGTGTGGGGTGGATCAAGAGATAAAGAAGAGCCTCAAAGACTAGACAGTCATAAAAGGGTCAATACAACAAGCAGAACCATCCACTCACTCGTACTTGTGTTGGTGATTTTAGAAACACTTAATCTGATGTTGTAACGCCATACTACAGAGTGATGCTGCAAATGGTGATGTTATTGTGACCTTATATAACCCGTCGAGGGTATAAAGGTCAGGGAGGTCAGGTCTCAGATGATGGTTTTACTTTAGTAAGGGATTAGGAGTTATTGCGAACAGCTGATATTGCCACCACCACTTCCTTCATCACCTCCACCACCACTTTCTTCATCACTACCAGTATCATCACATCCACCACAACCACCACTACAAAAACCATCATCTTCGCCAACTTCTTCTCATTCCCAACCATCTCCCCTTATTTCCTCCCAATAACCAACTTCTCCTTCACCACCACCCCCTCACCTTCTATCCTCGTCACCACCTCCCCTCACCCCGTCATACCATCCCCTCACAACCCCCACACCCCAATGCCCAGTCACCCCATCATGCCATCATCCCCTCACCCGATCACCTCCTTACCCCATACACCCTGTCAACCAAACTCCACGTCACCACCTCCCACTGTCACCTCGTCACCCCGATATCCCTTCACCCGATCACTCCGTCACCCCATTACCCCCACACCCCATCATCCCCACACGCCGTCGCCCCCACACCCCGTCAGCACCTCGCCGTCAGAAGCAGTATCTTATTAACAGTGTTTGGCCCGTCTGTCCCTCCCTGGGCCACCGTGGGAGCCTCCACCTGGCCTCCACCTGCTCACTCCACCCGAAAATTGGCAGGGGACGAGATCCAGACCAATTGTTGAACCGCCCTATTTCCGAAAACGTAATAGGCTTAACCACTGGGAATACGGTGATGGTGTGTGTGTGTGTGTGTGTGTGTGTGTGTGTGTGTGTGTGTGTGTGTGTGTTTGGAGAGCTGGTCACATTGTGTTTGTGTATATTTTGTGTGTGTGTGTGTGTGTGTGGGGGGCTCATCACACACACACACGTACCTTAACAAAACTAATTGCATTGGCTGGCTGTATGGTTGAGTGGGAGCAGTGATGGGAATTGAGAGGTGTGGGGTGGAGGTAGAAAGGGGTGGAGGAGAGAGGGAGAGTGGTGATGACTAAGAGGCAGTAAAAGACGAAGTAGGGGAAAATAAAGAATGAGGAATTAAGTTGATATAACGAATGTGCGGGAGTATATTTAGGAAAGAGGATTGTGTAGATTGAAAGAAGGGAAGGGGAGAGAAAGAGAGAGACAGAGACAGATAGAGTGTTTGTGTTTGTGAGAGAGGGAGAGATAAACATATATAGAAATGCATATAATCCTACTCACACGTACGAGTGTATGTACACATTCTCCTTATTTTATTCTGTCAGTCTGTCTCTCTCTTTCCCTCCACCGGGTCAGTTAAAACAAAACAAACGTTTTACAGAGAATTTATTATCACGTTAAAGCTCCTTATTTCCATCACATATTTTCATTTAGTCTAATATTGTTTCTGCTCACACTGGCGAAAAAACACCATCGCACGGACGGACGAGCAAGCGTGTAAAGCCTGGCGAAGCGTTTTAGCGTCGTACGGTGCCGTCCGTATCATAAAAAAAGATAATATTGTCAGGAGGCTGACAAACGATCGTCAGGCGTGAACCCTATAAGTGTTATTATTATCGGGAATGGAAGAAGAGAACCAACAACGACTGGAGATGTTAATCACTCGTGTTGGCGCTGGTGACAATGAGGTCCTGTTTTCACCATTAATGAAGTATCTTTTAGTATACTTATTATGGTTTGGGTGACAATTTGGTGATAATCTGGTCCTCCAACTCTCATCACTCACCTCCCGCAATTGGTGCCCTCGTAACCGTTCTAATGAGACTGGTGAGGGCTTGGTGAAATCCAGGTCTCCCCTTTACATCACCAGCAGCACTTCTTACAATTGGTGACCTTATGCCGTCTTAGAGATCCTAGTGAATGTCGCACTTCATCTACTTTCCCTATTTACATCACCTTCAAATCTTTTGTACCTGGTGAGGTCCGATAAAGTTAATTTCTCTCTCTGCCTCTTTCTATCACACACACACATATATATATATATATATATATATATATATATATATATATATATATATATATATATATATATATATATATATATATATATATATATATATATATATATATATAAATATATATATATATATATATACACGCATCTGTCAATCGTCATTCAAGTCCCCGATGACCTGGTTGTAGTCTCAGCTTGCCTGGTGAGGAAGTTGTTGAGGTCAAGGTCAGGGGTGAGGTCAGGGTGGCGGGCGAGGCGAGGGTTAGGTCTGAAGGTCAACTCCCACTCGTCCCTGGCCTGACCTGCTGCCTGGAGGTCCCCCATGGAGGGCTTGAACACCATGTTCTTCCTGGGGTTGTGTATACTGGGGGAGACACATAAGAGGGGTTAGAGGGGTGGAGGAGAGGTTGTGCAAGCTGGGGAAGAGACACATAGGAGGAGGTTAGAGGGGTGGAGGAGAGGTTGTGCAAGCTGGGGAAGAGACACATAGGAGGAGGTTAGAGGGGTGGAGGAGAGGTTGTGCAAGCTGGAGAAGAGACACATAGGAGGAGGTTAGAGGGATGGAGGAGAGGTTGTGCAAGCTGGGGAAGAGACACATAGGAGGAGGTTAGAGGGGTGGAGGAGAGGTTGTGCAAGCTGGAGAAGAGACACATAGGAGGAGGTTAGAGGGATGGAGGAGAGGTTGTGCAAGCTGGGGAAGAGACACATAGGAGGGGTGATACTCACCAGAACGGCGAGAAGGGGCAGCCTACCAGGTAAACCAAAGTGCCGCGCCATCGCACTCGTATCACGCCCTTGTAGATCTCCCGAGTGCTCTCATCGTACGTCCGGAGGCACTGTTTGAGAGAGAGAGAGAGAGAGAGAGAGAGAGAGCAAAAACTTTGAATCCATGGACAGTGTTGTATTTTCTTGACTTCCAAATTCTTAATGACTAGTGTATTAACTAACCAAGAAAACGAGCTTAAAGACTTCAGTAATGCATCATAATGTCAACTATCTAACTGGTGTCTCTTATTGTATACAGACCAGTAGTTATGTATTGTGTAGAATACAGTTTTAGATGTGGTTGAGGTACAGTAATATAGTCTTTTCTTTGTAGATGATAAATCCCCAGAAAACGAACATATCCCCATAAATCCCAATACCTCATAAATTCACAAAAATACCACAAATCCACATAAACTCCATATATAAAACCTTATAAATCCCCATGTAACCCCATAAATCTAGACAAATCCTCATAAAACCCAATAAATTTCCATAAAATCCCGATAGTTCCCATAAAACCATCTAAATCTCCAGAAACCTTATAAATCCCAGTAATCCCCTAACAACCTACCATAAGGAATAACTTGAAGCTGTGGTACTTGTCGTTGTTGTCCTCAGCGTGTAGGTAGAGTGCTAGGGGTCGAGAGCTGTTGCGGGTCACCCAGGTCATGGCACACAGGTCACGAGGTAGCGTGTCCAGGGTCTTGGCTACTTTCAGGTCACGGGTCAACCGTTCGTCGTACCTGTCCCGGATCATTCTGTTGAGGGGAGGAGGGGGAGTGTCAGTGTGTGTGTGTGTGCTAGAAACGTCACAGATACATTACACCAATGTCAATGTTCTGCGCTGGTGAATGTATCTCAATAAGTGTCAACAGTTTATACGGGAATTTTCTTCATTATGTTTACTATACTAATATGAAGATAAATTTCTGGGGAAAAATATTTACTTTTTATTTCCCGTGAATGGCCAAGAGATATATTCATTATTTAAATTATCTAAAATGTTTTTATTTTAGTAGTGCTCAAAATATTACTTATTATAGTGTGATTGGCTGTTTCAAATGAGCAATATTATTATTATTATTTTAGGGTCCGCCCACATACTGGTTCACATCCATGAGGTCGACGTGAGGCAGGTGGTTGTAGATCATACGGTTAAAGAAGACCTCCTGTTCGAATCCCGTGACGTGGACGCCAGCTGACCCTGAGTGGAAGGTCCTGGACACTTCGGGGAACACCACGTCGCGTCCCTTCCTCAGGTCCTCCCACGCCAGCCACCAGTCCCAGTCTCCCTTCTGCAGGAGAGTGAGGTGTTGTGTCGCCTTCTCTCAGTACCCCCTTCCTCGTCAACCATCACCAATACCTCCACTAACACCAGCCACCACCAGTACCTCCACTAACACCAGCCACCACCAGTACCTCCACTAACACCAGCCACCACCAGTACCTCCACTAACACCAGCCACCACCAGTACCTCCACTAACACCAGCCGCCACCAGTACCTCCACTAACACCAGCCGCCACCAGTACCTCCACTAACACCCGCCACCACTAGTAACCTCTCCAACACCAGCTACCACCAACACCAGCTACTACCAGTGTTTCCTCACTAATCAGCCACTCCCAGTACCTCCTTCCATGCTAGCCACAACCAGTACTTCCTCCAAAACCAGTTACCAGTCTTAGTCTCCCATCTGCAGGAGAGTGAGGCATGAGGTCCCCCACAACGTATGGCACCTATATCCCCCCAGACGCTCCACTCGTCTCTACACTGTTGTCGATACGTCGCTCATACATACATCATCCAACCCCTCCTCCTGTGTTCCTTATACGTTGTGGTAGTTCTCTCTCCTCGCTCTCAATCTCTACAAACGTCCTTCTCTCTACATATAACCTGCAGTTAATTAAATAAAGGTGTACAGGCAGCTAATAATATAACCAAATAAAGTCCCTGACGCCAGATGTTCTCAAAGGAGTGCCTGTAGAGACACAGGCACCTAGTGCCAGCTTAACTTACCCCTGGCGGCACCCACTTCTGGATGACCTCGCTGCTGTAGGCGCGGGTGATCATCCAACCGTACATCGGGTAGGTCCTCGCCCTCAGCAACACCTGCGGGTCGCTGGCAGTGTCTGCAAAGCTGTTACTGCTGTAGGCGTTGACGCAGTACACGCTGGGGTCCAGATCCAGTAGTGGCGACACCTGGTGAAAGTACCTGTAGGGAGGAGAGGTTGAGAGGGTGACGTGGTAGTTGAGGGAGACACCTAGTGAATTACCTGTTATGAGGAATAACAAGGCTAACTTTCAAGGGCAATGTTTTAGCCCTTTGTATGACAGGAGTTTCTCCCAGCTAAATAAAATCGTCTGACTTCAGCCAAAAGAGAATACCTACGGGAGCCGCTGCCCTTTAAAGGGTTAAAGGCAATTTATTTTAAGCACACTCCTTCAAGGATAAACTTTGAAGGACATGGAAGGTGTTGTCACCTGAGTAAGTCGGGTGAGAGGAGGAGGTCGTCCTCCAGCACTATGGCCTTGTGGGCTCCGGCAAACCTTCTGAAGACGCTGTCCAGGGCGAACTTGACGTTGGCGTTGATGCGGTTATTATGGAAGCCCTCTGGCCTGTGGATCACCACGCTCACGCCCATCACCTCCACCAGGGCCAACGTCTCCTGGTGGGCGCCGTCCACCACCACCAACACCTCTGTCTGCCACGCCCCAGCCATCGTGAACAACTGACGAAGCAGTCTGTCCAAGACACCAAGAACGAGGAGGTTTAGCACGTAATTCTGGGTCTACGGAAATGTTTTATATTTTAGTCTCTCTCTCTCTCTCTCTCTCTCTCTCTCACCTGTATAAGTAATAAGGCTTGAAGGCAGTCACCACCACCACGGGTATCTGCTCCTGGGTAGATAAGAATTCCTGTGAAGAGTGAGGAGAGAGGAGTCAGGGTCAGCTGTGGCATGTAAACAAACGTTGAGTGTAGAGATCAGCTGACTCAAACAGGTGTAACTAGTCTAAGGAACATATGTCTCGATTACACACACACACACACACACACACACACACACACACACACACACACACACACACACACACACACACACACACACACACACACACACACACACACTTGTAATTCAGAATACATGCGTCAGCAGTTCAGAAAAAAAGATAACAGTAGTCTGGTTTGTATACTTCTGTAGTTCAGCTTAAATACCCCTGTAGTTCATAGCACATACACCTGTTGTTAAAAAATACACAAAATTAACCGGAATACACTATCTGTAATTAAGAATACAAATAACACTTGTATATTAGTACAGGTGTGTCTCTCACCTGTAACCTACGGGTTTCAGGGAAGAAGGTATCGTTACAGGTGCACAGGTCGCCATACCCCTCGTACCGCTCGCAGAAGGTTGCCTGACGGTACATCCTAGGCCGAGTGTACCAAGGGCACCGTACCTGACCTGAGGGAGGTAGAAAGGGTAAATTATGGGCAAGGTAGAGAGTGAAAGAGGGAGGGAGGGAGGGAGGGAGCGAGGGAAATGAGTGAAGAAAAGGAACGAAGGGGGGGGGGGCGATTGAAGGTGAAAAGTGGGGGAGGGAGAGGGCAGAAGAAAAGGAGAAAGTGAGAGGTTAAAAGTGAAAAGTGAGGGAGAAGAGGGAGGAAGAAGGGCAATGAAGAAGGAAAATGATGGCGAGAAATAATGGATACAATGTGAAAAGTAAGGGAGAAGGTGAGGGAAGGAGTTTAATTCACAGTTTCTCGTATCAAAGGGAGAGTATTTGTGTTATAGGAAGCTCTACCACTATAGTGTACACAGTGAGTTACCTGGGTCAGTCTTGGCCACATAAACATCCAAGTGAAGATCAGAAGACGGGTACCTCTCTAGTCCTCTTGTGGTAGTCGCCTCAGCTAGGGTCTTCCCGCCCACTACTCCCACCCACGCCCACACCTCCCCCTGCGTCGCCTTCGCCGCCCATCTCGACCCTAAGGATGTCAGGGTTTCCTCAGCACCGCGTCCCAGGAACATAACCCACTCCGGCTGTAGGGGGTGAAGGAGGGGTGATGGTAGATGGTGGTAGGTCGTGTGTGGTGCAGTGGTGGTAGATGGTTGTGGTTTCAAAGGGTGATGGCTTTAGATGGTTGTTAATGGTAGTAGCGATGGTAGGTGTGGGTGGTAATGGTAGAAGGGGTAGTGGAAAGTGGTATATGGAGGTAGGGTCCTCTATCTATCTATCTATCTATCTATCTATCTACTATCTATCTCCTCCACCCTCCCCGTGCTCCACTTACCACTCCCACCAACACGATCACTCTGCCATGCTGCACGGAGGCCACACAGTCCTTCAGTCGGGCGTGCTCTGCGGGTTGGTACGTAAGAAATTGCCGTGCCATCATAAGATTACCCCGCCCCCCGTGCACCACCAGTACGTGCACACCAGAGTGGAGAGCACCGTACCTGCCCGTGTTCACAGCCTCTCCCGTACCCTCATATACCTGTGGGGTTGAGAAGATGATTAATCGATCAATGAAATAATAAAAGAGGTGAATGGGTGCTTGATAATTTTATGAGTACCTTGTTATCTCTCTCATTCTTTATTTCTCTCCTTTTCTTTTTTGTATTCCTCATCTTAAGCTTAGTTACCAATGTACATATTCACTCGTTTATTAGATAATCTGATAATAGATAAAAAAAAAATGTTGTATGACACACGACATAACACAGACAGATAAGATCATCAACAGACAGCTATATAATCAAATTATCAGACACACAGACGTACAGACAGAGAAACAGTCTACTCACCAGTTGATCGTCAATCTTGAGCGTCACACAGGTGGTATTGATGCTAACAGACAGGTGAAGGTGACGGGAGATAGCTTCTGTAAAGGTGACGCCATTACCTATTATTATTATTATTATTATTATTATTATTATTATTATTATTATTATTATTATTATTGTTATTATTATTATTACTGTATTATTATTATCTCAAAACGAAATAAGTTAATATATATATAATGACAAGTCTTCAAAACATTTATGTCACCTTTGATGTAACGAGACAAAAAAACTTACCTCGTATACGGTTATGAGTAGCCAGGTTGTAAGGCTTGTAGTTATGACCTCCTGTTGTGAGAGGTAAGAGTGGTGGTGAGAGGTGAGGGTGGTGGTGAGAGGGGAGGGTGGTGGTGAGAGGTGAGAGTAGTGGTGAGAGGTGAGGGTGGTGGTGAGAGGGGAGGGTGGTGGTGAGAGGTGAGAGTAGTGGTGAGAGGTGAGGGTGGTGGTGAGAGGGGAGGGTGGTGGTGAGTGGTGGTGAGAGGGAAGAGTGGTGGCGAGAGGGGAGAGTGGTGGTGACAGGTTAAGGTGGTGGTGAAACATACAAGATAAAACAAAAATAAATATATAAATTGATGAAGGAGATAAATAAAAGTGTAGTAACATATTATTAGAAACTGTTCACTTTACCTGAACAATGAACATGAACAAGTTGTATTAGAAAATGTTCTTCATACATGTTCAATGTCTCTCATGCTTACTGTCTCTTAATGGAAAGTTCAATATATCAAAATTGTTCATTGTCTCTCAAAGGGTTATTCACTTTCTCTTAACTGTTCACTGTCTCTCAAGGGAATGTTCACTATCTCTCAAATTTATAAGATTAATAGCCATTATCTCCCAAAGGAATATGACAAATGTTCACTTTGTCTCAATGTAACAGATACAAGAAAAGACTTACTGCCTATGTTCCTCCACCGCATTGACAGCAGTTCAGCACCTTCCGTCACCGTCACCAGCGTCACCGTCACCAGTAACACGTATCCTATACATCCGTCACCCATGATACACGCTCACGTCCATGTGTTACGGTCGCCACACTACGTTCTAGGTAACGGGCGCGGGCCGTCACGCTCTTCTAAACGGAATTATGGCCGCCAGACTGTCCCAAGTAACGGAAGTACCTCTAGTTACCCAGCGGTATATTACTTGTTGTCAAGAGCTCTATTGTGTTTCGTGTTACGCCCTGTTACGGCACGTTGTTAGTGAATAACAGAGCCTAACAGGTATGAGATTCCAGAGCACGAAAACAGATTCACTTAACACTATTCTTCTATTTTTTTAAGCTACAGCTAAAAGGCGAAGTAATAATAATAATAATAATAATAATAATAATAATAATAATAATAATAATAATAATAATAATAATAATAATAATAATAATAATAATAATAATAATAAATAGTAAGGCTGATGAAAGATTGGTAAATTACACAGACAAAAATATTCGACTTACTCACTTCCGTTATATTCCTGCTTCGAAAATGTTAAACAAAATCCGAGTTATCAGAGGTCGCCACAAGACTCACTCAAGAGCTCTCACCCTCAAGTCTCGGCGTGATCACAGCTCAACAAAGTAATATAACCTGTACTACTGTATCATACTCCGGCACACAACGTTACCACAGCGCTATAAATAATTCATTAACACACTTTGAAAACAATAAAACACAGATCAAGTAATGCTGTGATACTTATGATTAGGAATTACAGTGAATTTACAGCCTTAAAAGACTATAACGATGTAAATTGGTTTGAACATTAAGTAAAATCACAGTTTAAACAGACGAGTAAAAGTACAGCATGACAGACCAGGCGCCCTGGTGTTATCGCTTGGAAAACTGCAACGTAAGGATAGTCGAGCACCTGATGAGCCAGAACGGGCGCTTATACTGCCGTGGCCGGGTGCTTCAGGTGGGTGTGTGAGAACGAGAGGGGGAGGTGTAGGTAGGTAGGTATGTGGGGAGGGGGAGGATGTGGTGAGAAAAGAGTACTGGGGAGGGGACAGGGAGGGTAAGGTGGGCAGGGGGCTGGTGGGCAGGCTGGTGGTGCTCGTACCCTACCTGACTGCCAGCACATCTAAGTGGACCACCTCAGGCACCTGTCTGAAGGGTGCCAGTTAGTCCCTTTTTCCCTCTGTTTGCTTAATCACCCCTCAGAGGATGTTTCCGCCATTATTATTATTTTACTTTTAAGGTATTTCAGGACTGGGAAATTTTATGTGAGGCATTTTTCAACTAAAGTTGTATAGAATGAAATTGTTTTATTTTAATTCGTGCGTGCACAGAGGTAAACAATAAAGTAGACTATACTACTGAAAATTACGATCCTCATATTATTCAAGTCTATAACCCTAACTAAAGACCTCAGTTATTTCTTATACCTGTACTGGATATCTAAACGTTTTCCCTTGAAAATAATGTTTTGCTTTCCAGCAGTGTCCTGAACTTTAGATGAGGAAAACCAAGACAAAACTGCAGTGCGTTGGGTTGGCCAGTTGTGGTAGATCGTGTGTGTGTCTCACATCTAACAAGCCGGTTTTCTTGCTTTTGTGGGGTTAGAGGTGATGTATTTTTAGCCCAATAATTAAGATACAGCAACATACCTCTACCTCTGCTTGTTGTTACAGCTGTTAGTTGTGAGTCGTAACTCTGGTTAGTAAAAGGGGACTTCTGTTTGGAAAGATTCACAATATCGTTATTGTAAACTCCACACTGAGAGACAACCTGCTTTAGCACCTTAGAAATGAAGAAAAAAATAATATCTGACAAAAAATAAACGTGGATGAAGGTGGCAGCTGGGGTCGTCAGTGTGGTCCACTTGTTGTGCACATTATAATGAAAACTGTCGATAGTCAGTGACACACAGCTCGTATCTAAGTTTAACACGTCTCCTTGGAAGCATTAAGCCAGAGGGAAGAAAATTAATCACGTGTTGTTATGACTAACAGCAGTTAATCCCCCCTTATGAAGCCATCTACTGCTGATGACGTCACGGTATTTCACGGAGAGAGAGAGAGATAGAGAGCAACACCTGACATGTTTTATGAACCCAAACTTACTGTACTGAGGCAGGAGAGGAGCGCCTGTGGGGGCCAGGGATTGCCTTCAGCGGATACCTTAGTCCTGTGTGATCGGTATCTAGTCCCTATATTTTATGATAATGGTATAATAATCATAATCATTGTCAGAAACATTTGTTTGTGGTTACAGATGCGGTAGAATGAGAATACATAGAGCTGATTGGGGAGCTGTACATTTACCCCGACAAAATTAATAATTAGTTTACTTTAATACCTAGTGTAGCCTCCACCTGCTGCAGGTGTCAGAGTGAATAATTTCTCCATCAAGCTATATCACGCGATCTATCATAATGTGATTATCTGTGTAACAATTAAACAAAATGAGAATTACATACAGTTTTGTTGACTTCACCCAACACTACACTGTCTTAGTCAGTATAATACCTTGGATGTTATTTATTCACTGAGTTGTAATATTCTTATAAATGCTTGTACACACTTCAAATGGTAGGAATGTTCTTGATGAGCTTCCGAGAGAGAGAGAGAGAGAGAGAGAGAGAGAGAGAGATGTGCTCCCCTCTCTAATCTGAGTTGGACTGCTGCCTAGGGGCGGGAAGGAAGTCGACAAGTTGCCACAACACTTTCGTCTGCATATTAAGAAGTTAGACACAATAACTTCTCGGCTTGCTGTGAGTGAGGGTAATTGAGTAGTATATTAGTGTGTTATACAGCACATACACACTGTTGCTAGACCAACACTACACCTTGTACTACACTACACCCGGCACTATACTAAACCCTGCACTATACTATATCCAACACTATACTAAACCCTGCACTATACTATATCCAACACTATACTACACCCAGCACCACACTACACCCAGCACTATACTACACCTAGCACTATATTACACCCAGTACTATACTACACCCAGCACTATACTACACCCAGCACTATACTACACCCAGCACTATACTACACCCAGCACTATACTACACCCAGCACTATACTACACCCAGCACTATACTACATCCAGCACTATACTACATCCAGCACTATACCACCCAGCACTATACTACACCCAGCACCACACTACACCATATTACACCAAGCACCACACTATGCTACCCCCAGCACCACACTACACCCAACACCACACTACACCAAGCACTACACTACGCCCAACACCACACTACACCAAGCACTACACCCAGCACCACACTACACCCAGCACTACCACACCCAACACCACACCACAACAAGCACTACACTACACCCAGCACCACATTCAGCACCACACCACACCCAACACCACACACACCCAGCACTACACCAACACCACTACACCAGCACTACACCACACCCAGCACCACACCACACCCAGCACCACACCACACCCAGCACCACACTACACCCAGCCAGCACCACACTACACCGCACCACACCACACCAGCACCACACCACACCCAGCACCACACCACACCCAGCACCACACCCCAGCACTACACTACACCAGCACCACACCACACCAAGCACTACACTACACCCACACCACACTACACCAGCACCACACACCACACCCAGCACCACACCACACCGCACCACCCACCCACCAGCACCACACACACCACCAGCACCACACTACACCAGCACCACACTCACCAGCACCACCACCCCCAGCACTACACCACACCCAGCACCACACTACACCAGCACCACACCACACCCAGCACCACACTCACACCCAGCACCTACAACACCCAGCACCACACTACACCCAGCACCACACCACACCCAGCACCACACTACACCCAGCACCACACCACACCCAGCACCACACCACCCAGCACCACACACTCACCCAGCACCACACTACACCCAGCACTACACCACACCCAGCACCACACTCACACCCAGCACTACACCACACCCAGCACCACACCACTACACACACCAGCACCACACACCAGCACCACACTACACCCAGCACTACACTCACCCAGCACCACACTACACCAGCACCACCACACCCAGCACCACACACCACACCCAGCACCACACTCACACCCAGCACCACACCACACCCAGCACCACACAACACCCAGCACCACACCACACCCAGCACCACACCACCCAGCACCACACCACACCCAGCACCACACCACACCCAGCACCACCTCACCCAGCACCACCACCACACCCAGCACTACACCACCCAGCACTACACTACACCCAGCACCACCACACCCAGCCCACACCACACCCAGCACCACACCACACCCAGCACCACACACCACACCCAGCACCACACCACACACCAGCACCACCACACCCAGCACCACACCACACCCAGCACACACCACACCCAGCACCACACCACACCCAGCACCACCACACCCAGCACCACACCACACCCAGCACCACACCACACCCAGCACCACACCACACCCAGCACCACACCACACCCAGCACCACACCACACCCAGCACCACACTACACCCAGCACCACACACCACAACCACACTACACCCAGCACCACACCACACCCAGCACTACACTACACCCAGCACTCCACCACACCCAGCACCACACCACACCCAGCACCACACACACCACCCAGCACCACACTACACCCAGCACTACACTACACCCAGCACTACACTCACACCCCAGCACCACACACACACCCAGCACCACACCACCCAGCACCACACTACACCCAGCACCACACCACACCCAGCACCACACCACACCCCACACCACACCACACCACACACCCAGCACCACACACCACACCCAGCACCACACCACACCCAGCACCACACACACACCCAGCACTACACCACACCCAGCACCACCACACCCAGCACCTCACCACCACCCACACCACACACCACACCCAGCACTACATCACACCCAGCACTACACCACACCCAGCACCACACTACACCCAGCACCACACCCACAGCACACACCACACCAGCACCACACCTGCACCCACACCACCCACACCCAGCACTACCCACACCCAGCACCACACCACACCCAGCACCACCACACCCAGCACCACCACACCCAGCACCACACCACACCCAGCACCACACCACCCAGCACCACACCACACCCAGCACCACACCACCCACACCACACCACACCCAGCACCACACCACCCAGCACCACACTCACCAGCACCACACCACACCCAG